TCTTCGTTTACCTATCAGTAAATGGGTCTGAGTATTTCTAACTGAGAATTTTGCAAATGCTGCAATGTCCCGTGATCAGCCACATGTGACACATAAGCAAGCCTGGCACGTATCAAAAACGTGAATGGCCAGCACAGCAGACTTCTGGTAACTATGGTAGATACTTATTAAGGCTTGGGGAAAAGTGTTAATCAAAAATTTAATCTACCATATAATTTCTCAATTTGATTAGTTGTTTGTGCTAATCATCTGCAGAAACGGAATGTGAAAGAAAATCAGTCTCCATTACTGTCAAAAAACAAAGAACGTCTTCAGCATCCGACGTGTTCTCCCCTTCCCCTTTAGTTTTAATCCATTCAGATTGTAAACAAGAAGCATCACTATGGGTATTGTACTGATGCACAGCTAGTAATCTGTGTACATTATGAAAATGCCTTTTACTTAGAGAGAGAAACGGACATTTGCGTGGTGGTTTTTCCTTTTGCCAGTGGTAAAGTAAGATACCATAACTGTTTTTAAGCTGGGATGGAGCAGGTAGTATTGTCATCAGTGTTAGTGTTTAACAAAAAACCCAACTTTTCTATGTATTTTCCCACTGGAAATGTGACTGGAAAACATTAAGAGATTTACTATTTTACAATGTACCTATTGAAGTACAGACTGAAGAAGTTAAACAGTTAATAGTTCAGATAATTCTGTTATGTTATATAACTTTTTCTGACATCATTGCCAGAAGATCCTTTGGGTTCATGTCTAGTACTTAACTGGAACAGAGCGGGTAGATGCATTGTTATGAAAATAGTATTATTTCAGACTAATAAGTCACCAGGCATTCTGATATTCATTATGTGCGCTTAATTATATCATGAATTGAATTGCAAGTTAGAGAAACAAGATCTCTGTGTACTCTGTAATTTACAGAATTGAGAGTGTTTGACTATTGATCTGACAGCCTGGGATTTCTGCTCTCTGCATTAGCCCAAGGAATGTGAAAGGATGCTCAGAGTTCCTGAATTTTTAAAATAAAATACTCGAATTATTAGTGGGGTTCAAAATTTAAATACTTTCTTTTTTTTTCCAAATTAGCTTCCATAAAAGTTCCTTTTTTTTTTTCCAAATTAGCTTCCATAAAAGTTGTGTGATTTCCTTTAGCATTAGGAGTATAATAGTTTTTTGACTCTCATCAGTCCTGAACACCTGTATTCCTATTCAAGAGGGTGAAGAAAGGAGTCAAGAATAATGTGTAAATATTATTTAAAAAAACACACACATGACAGTCATTTCTACAGGTTAATGGTTTTAATGTAATTACATTGAGTCTGGAATTAACAACTCTTTGTCAGGGACCTGCAGTGGTGTACATGACTTTGGAGCAAGTCAGAAGAGAACAGAAACGCAACTGTAGGTAGTTAAAATTGCACGAAAAGTTTGAGGAAGGAGATAAGTAATTGTTTTCAAACAGTGACAGGATTGCAGAGTGAGCATTCTTTCCTTTATAAAAACTCTGATTAGTAGGGACTATAAATCAGCTTTATTCTTCAGAAAGAAGACAGCAGCTCCCATGCGTGTCTAACCAGTTTGGGCAACTAGCAGAGGAGTGAGTGAGTAGAGCAGTTCCTCTGGGGTTGTAAATTGAAGTCAATGGGACTATGACAGTTCATACCGCTGGAGGATGTACCACCTCGAAGATTGCTGATCCCACGTTATGTGTCTTCCAAGTAGTCCTTGGAGGATCCTTAGGACTGCAGCAGTCTGCTTCTGCTGCTTAGCTTGCAACATCTGACAAGGATCGCGGCCCAAGGTGGGAAGCTTGCTGGCATAAATAATATAGTCTATAACCTCAGTTTCCTGATTCAGCATTTTGGATGTGAATAGTTTACAGAGAGAGGACTTCTAAATGAGAGGACAGTGCTTTTTCAAGGGACAAGGGTATATTGGGTTCTGGAAGAGGTGGGAGGTATAAGGCTGGGGAGAACCCAGCAGAATACGAGTTTCCCTATATGGTGTTGGAGGAGTCAGAAGATACTGGAAGTTTTCCGTTCCTTACAGCCTCCTGGTGTTTGTGCGTCTGTTTCTATGGATTTGAATCTTAGTTGGGTCAAAATGAGACTGGGGTTTTGAAACAGCTAGCAGCCGACTGCAGTAGAATTTACTTTTCCCCCTTTATGTACTAAAAATGCCACTGTGTTGTGTACTTATCCCTGTCAGGACACATAGTCTTAAAAATCATTGCTAGGAAGGCTTCATGTGCATGACGGAAAGCTTTGCGGAATGCCTCTAGAGCACGCCTCCACCTGAAGACATCCCCATTCAGAAGCCAGAGAGTTCCTACTGCGTGGAAGCTGTGTGCTTCAGAGTCTGCACAACCAGAGCAGCAGAGTTAAATTCCTGCAGCTGCAACTGGGCCTGTAATGCAGACAGTTCACTGTCAATTAGTGCCCTTTGCAGTGTTTGGCCTTCTTTGTTCTGAAATAATTGCTGTTATCATAGATGTTTTATTGCCTTCATTATGGTTAACATTTAAATATCAATGAAATAGTATGCTGCTAAGTCATCTGCGCAATAGCTATCTGCTAGAGTTATCCCTGAAATTTGTGTTTAAGCAGTGTATTAATTCAGCACTGACTTTAGGATTCATAGAAGGAGGGTTATATATTTGTTGATGGATTATGGGAAATCTTTGCTTATTCGCAGCAAAACCTGAGCCATTCTCATCTGATATTTTGTAAGTAGAAAACTGTGTGATGGGAATAACGCTTTCTCTGTTAAACAGAAATATTTTAAGAAACTTAAAAATATTTTGACTCATCAAATCAGGCAGTAAAGGCTGACCTTTCTGCATCGAGATGAAGAATTACACTGGGAGACAGAGATGTGTTCTCTACCCTCAGTTAGTGCAGAAGGAGCCTCGCTGCCACGTCCTGTTCTGCCTGAATCCTGTCCGTGACCTTCTGAAACCAACAGAATGTCTCCCTTTAATTTCTGTGGCTTCCATTGACTCCTGTAGTGCCATGTGTGACCTATTCGGACATCAGCTATGTGTGTGATTCCATTTTTGTGAGCTGACTTTACACGTCTTTGTATGTTGAGAAAGTGAATACACAAACCCCTAATTTTGTATACCCATTGATCCCAATACTTAGCTACGTGTTTCTTGTCTAATTTTTGGCAGCATCAAGTTTTCCAGAAGATCTGGAATGAATACTGTATATTATACCATAAGCCATGATGCACTAAGGCCTACAGCTCTTATCAGCCAGGTGTGTGAACGTGTCACTTGACTGACACAGATCTCTGGCAACAGATCTCGCATGCAGATTCCAGATTTCCAAAACTTTGCTTTTACTGACATAACTCTTCTCACAGATTTGGAAAGGAAAGGTAATTTTGCTCTGTTTGCTGTCAGGGTATGTCAGCCCCCAAGCTGGCTCCAGATCGATAGTGCATCCATCTGGTGCGGCACTATGCTGAAATACCAGCTACGATCCTAATAACAAAGCAGTCGTGTTTGGTCCTGCTGGGATGCAGTGCAGCAGCAACAAAAACACGCTGCTGCCGGCGTCAGAGCCTGCTCACACACCCCTCCTGAGCGTGCCTGCGCATAGCTGTGTTACCCTGCAACCTGCTGGCTTTGCCGGTATGCCTGTGTGTGTGTCTTCCTGTGCACCAGAAAAACAGTCTTAATGGGGTATAATCTAATTTAGCTTTCATCTGCTGATGTTGTAGATGATGGTTTTGCCAAGAGATTTCTAGGCAGAATTGTAAAAATGTTTTTAAATTGGCAGATGACCAAGGGGGCTAGTTAACTTCTGTTAAACTCTTCAAGAGCTTTTCATTTAATGTCCTGTGTAAATACGTAACACTGGAACAACTAAATAGTTCAGGGAAGGGTAATGATGCCTTTAGGTTGCTTCAGCAGGTATTTTCTTCAACACGTACACAAACTCACAAAAGCTTTCTCTTCTCCCAAAGCGATCCTATGGAGTGCTGTGCCCGTGTATAAAGCAGAGGTTGCTCTGTGCCCTGGTGCTGTACACCTTTCATATGGGCAGCTGCGGCCAGCAGCAGGACCGGCCACGCTGGGACCTGGAGTCGTCACCAGCCCTACCAATTCTCATGACAAACCGGGCTGCAGTACTTGCACATTTGGTGCATGTGGAGCATGGCAGTTATGTCCTGTTGAAGTGCTTTCCATTTCCTGTGCTGTCTTGACAAACTTTGTAGCTTCCAGTTTGCTGGAGTGTCATTGATATAATTAGGAGCTACGTAAATGGGAGCAGCACGCTCAGCTGATTGTAATTGAGTCAGTTCATTTATCATGAGAAGCGCTAAAGGGGTCCCTACCAGCAGCTGAGATCTTTTTCTCTTTAAGCTCTGCTTTGGTAGAGCAGCAGAAATCCTTACATGCCTGGGTCATGGCATGCTTTATTACGGCCCTTCCACTACCCATACATTTTTTCATAAGGAAACCAAAGAAAGGGTACTCACCGGTCCGTGTGTTTTCAAAAGGGCAATTTGAGCTGTCTGTCCGTGTCAGCTGGCTGTGTTAACAAGCCTGCGAGAGTCAACAGCTCTCTTTCTGTGTGAGAAGTGAGCGCTTTAAGTGCAAGGCTTTCCTATTGCGCTGTGCGAGTTTGATGTTCCTCCAGTCAAGTTGCACCAGGTTTTCAAGCCAAGCGGCAGCTTAACCAAAAAGTCTGGATCTGTTCCAGTAGTCGGTAAAAACTCCCCTCCTGTACTCCTTGGTACTCTGACATGGTAAATAGTAACTTTCATCCATTCTTAGCAGCTGTTGGTTGCTTTGCCCTAACGATATCTTTCATGATACGTCACAGACTGTCTGAGGTATCGGTCAGCATGTCTTACGGCTCGCAGCCTGGCAGATTTATTACCGAGAGTTTTAGCAGCTTGTTTCTGTAAATAGTGTGTTGGTGAAGAAATGTAAACAATCGATCAATCTATTATTCTCTTTTCTCTCTCTTTTCTTTTTCTCCTAACAGTACTCTCAACAATAACAACATCACCCGGATTCCTGTTACCAGTTTCAATCACATGCCAAAGATCAGGACTCTGTGAGTAATATCTTCAAATATAATAATTATAATAACAACAACGGTGTAAGCCAACTCTTTGGATATCTCTTGTCTTGTGATCATTTTATTGCAGTTTCTTCCTGATGTGAATAATCCCCCCTCCTCTCTTGAGGAGGACGGTCACTGAACAGGCCTGACCCTGTGAGGGCCGTGCCCGGCCTTGCGCTGGGCCTGTCCGCAGGCACCTCTGTGGGGAGGGGGACAACTGAGGCCCAGCCGGGCCGTCAGCCCATGGGCAGGGACCAGCTCAGACGAGGCCCGTGGCCAGTCAGGGTGGGCTGGGGCAGGGCCGGAGGCCCACACTGCTATGGCGTCGCTGAGAGCCCCAGGCTGGGCCATGGTGGAGTCCTGGGCCCGGGGAGCCCCTGGTGAGGCCGGGCAGGGTTGTGAAGGCGGCTGGTGCCATCCGGGCCCTGACAGCACGTTCACTGGATTTACCCAAGGTTAAGTAAGGTTCGGTTTTATCAAGATTTTGAATTTACTCAGCAGTAGAGGAGAAGTGTGTTCTAAGCTGGAATGTCATCAAAATTGTGAAAACTGCTCAGATAGATCAAGTTACTTAATTTGGATAATATCCTGTGTTTAAATCGTATTTCTTCTTTCAAATTCAGAATACTAAATTCTGAAATAATAAATTTTTTGAAGAATTTGAAAAAAGCTCCTTTACCAGATACTTTCTGAAACAAAATGTTAGTGATTCTGATACATTTTTTAATAAAAACTTCTCTTGCATAAAATTACTTTTTCTATATAGCTCAGCACCATTCCACTGGAAAAGCTCTGATTGACTTTAGTAGACCAGAATACGAAGACTGTGAAATTAGACTGTGTGTATTTGTAGAATTTAGCCATAGCCTACCAAAACCATTTTTGTTAAATAAATTATTCCTTTAAATTCTTCTAGGGAATACACAACTGCAGGAAGAGTCACGTTTAAACAAAGTCTCTTTGTTTTTTCCTCCAAAATCTCAAAGTTAACCAAGATGTATTTAGTCTTAAAAGCAAAGAAAGAGAAATAGTAGCTAGCCTGAAAATTTTGTGTGTCACTGAAAAAGTAAAATGCTTCAAGGATGCTACATATGCATGTGTAAAATTATATTAAATAAGTTAACAGAACTGAAGAGAAATGGCTCTTACTCATGTCAATCTATGTAAGATAACCTCTGATTTAAATTTATATTCTTCATTAAATGGTGACTTTCATAGATTTTAATGTAAGTAATTAAATGGAAATTAGATGTTTGTCTTTTAGGAGAGAATGGATAAAGAAGATAAAGGTGTAAAGTTAAGGTTCCTGGAGTTTTTCCTTTTCTCATTCAGTCACAGTGGTCCAGAAAATTTGCCTGTCGTCTTCAGATTAGTCAGTCTTGTCTGTTGCCAGAGCTCAATGCCTTCTGCCATTTTCCTTTTAGTTTAATTTCGGAGATGGCTTTGTATGTAGCTCCCTGGAGACTTACACTGACTAATCCTGCTCTGCTGTAATTAAGGGAGGGAAAAAAAAAAAAAAAAAGAACAAAAAAAAAAAGGGAAGGAAGTCATAAATAGGATTTATAAAGGGAAGCTTTTATATTGAGTTCTGAGAGCCACATTTTATAGAATACTCTAAAAGGATTTGCTGGAAATTTAATTTAGGGTCTATGGCTAAAAGGGCACCTTTGCAAACTTGCATTTGTATTCATTCACCTCATGTTCTGTAAAGGTAGTTTCATCAAAATCAAGTGGCATGTTTCAGTCTTCAAAGACTGCCAAATAACACGCAGTACCCTTCTTGGCAGTTCAATATCGGAATTAAAAAATCATACATAGGCAGGTGGAAATACAGCAAAATGGTTTAGTTTTCTATATTTCCTTCTATCTGTTTCAACAGAGGCAGAAAAGTCATCAAAGTAGCAATTAATATCAGATAAATACAGGAATCAAATAGCATTTCATAATTTTTCCTGCTGCTCCTTAGTATTAAAGACCCTTCCTCTACCCCCAAGTCATCTTAGCACTTTTCACAGACAATACTTTAGGTTTATTAATAAAATAAGTTTCCATAGCTACATGTTACTCAATATTTTCTGATTATCTTTTGTTCAGGGTTTAGAAATACTGTTTTGATTTAATGATTTTTTTGTGTAAATGGGTAGTAGTACCCTAACAATTAATATACACCCGAGCACATGTTGAACCGATGAGGTTTTGTTCACCTGTGTAAAATATTTATATAAAGATATTTATTGGAGGGAAATGTTAATATTCTCTCTAGTTCCATGAGTTTTATTTCACTTGATAACCTGCTTCTCCTGCATTAGTATACAACCTCTATGAGCAGTTTGCACGAAAGGAGAAACTGTTTGAAGCATAATGGATGAATAAGATTTACTATTTGATCTCAGTTGTTGATGCAAATTCAGTCCAAATGGATCATGAGTGATGTTCATTACAGTTTGGTGACTCTACTGTTCTCTTAAAAAATGATCATCAGTTTGTACACCTGCTCAAATAGCTTCACACTTAGATGTGGTTTTTTTCAGGAGCTCTTGTAGGGAGTCCCTGGTCTGAATGTCGCTTAAGTAGGGACAAGCCCTTTTTCCCATCCAGCTGAGGCCCAGTGCCCTGTGGATAGTGTTTTCCCTATGTGTGTCTTTTACACACTACTGAGATCCATTAGCAGGATGTTTGGGGCTGCTTGTGCCGCAGCTGCATCTGCTGTGATAGCTTGATGGATAAATAGCTTTTTCTTAGCTCTGAAAACATTCTGCTCATTTAAGAAGAACAGAGAAGGAAACATAAAGAGCATATTCAACTTGAACATGACCATTCAGGGGGAAGGGGAGGAGGGGGAAGTGCTAGTAAGATTTGAAGCACTTGAAGAATTCTTTTAAAAAAAATCAGCTCTTCTGTGCTAACGTTTTTTATTTAACTGTCTTTTCTGTTGCAAAGTTTCATTGATCTTTTAGCCTTGATTGGAAGCGACAGGAATTAGTTTTTATTGATCTGCTTTCCTTTGCTTTAAATAGCTTTATTTATGTTAAAGCATGTCCCCCATACCTATTTGCTTAATGGTAGGTGTCATATTGTCTCTGCATGTGTGTCTGACTGCTGAGATAGGTAATTGCGTAATTTCTTTTAATTGTTTTTATTTAAGGGTAAACTGAAAATGTACGAAATCACTTCAGTGCTTTCCATGTTCATAGGGAATTGATGTATTATGCTTTTGAAGTACTGTGAAAAGTCTTTTTGTGGCTGTATTCATTAATATAATTATCAAAAATATATTCTAATAGGCTGCTCTGTTAAGCTTGATAGGCTCTGTAAATGGTCTCCTCTCAAAAGCAAACTGTGGAATATCCATGCAAAAAACTTGAACAAATGCAAAGTAAGGCTCTGCTGAGGCAGGCGAGCTGCAGAGAGGTGACAGTTTGCACTACTAAAATGGGAAAACCCAGAAACCAGCTATATGCATTTAATGAGGAAAAAACCACAACTCGCAGAACTGGAAAGCTGCCCCTTTTTGTGAAATTGCAGTTTTGTTACTCCTGCCTGCCTACATCCTTACAGGGGATGCAGGGAATGGCATGGAATGAGCTCTGTTTCAGTTCCTGAAGGAAGATGATTCTGAATATCATTGTTGACTTAGTCTTACTTAGGATGATTTCTGGATAAATGATATTTGTTCTCTTTTCTTTGTAAGTGTATTTATTTGTTCTTTCAATCAACAAAAAGTGTTCCAGGCAGATTAATGGTTCATAAAACCAAAACATTTTATTAGAAATCAAACTTACTGCAGTATCAATTAAAGAGCTTCATAATCCCTAAATACAAGGTCTTCTAGCCATCCTTCTAAGACAGTTACATTTGACAGTGCTCCCAGGATACTAGCATCTTCCATCTCTAAAGGATAAACTCTCAGCTCCAGATTTGTGGTCTTTTACTGTGACTGCCCACCCCAGACATACAAATCTGGGGACTGTCAGCCTGGGCGCCACTGCTGACCTGCACTGCTGCCATGCACTATGAAGATCTCACAGACAGACAGTTAATTTCTTTGGTGGATGGACAAGGCTAAATCCTGTGCACATCGATTGTGTGGGTTTTTTTTAATGTAATGCCTGTAATATGAGTGAATAATGCTTTGTCTAACCATTTCTGACAGGATTTTCAATCTGGTTTATCATTTCAGCTTTGGTATAACACTGCAAATGTATGACTCATTACAGGGAATGAAATAATTAATGTCCCTGGCTTTTGTTTTGACCTAAAGTTTGGTATCTATTAAAATTACCAGATTCACTCCCTGAACGCATCATCATTTTGCAGACTTTTCCCCGCAATGTGGTAATGCTGCTGCGAGTCTCCAGTGGCAGGCATGAAGTGGGCTGAGAGGGGAGCTGCGTGGCTAGGTCCTCCATTACAAAGAAGAGCCCCGGCACTGCTGTGTGGCATGACCCTGTCGCAGCCCCCTTCTTTGTCATGCACTGAGAGTTCCCATCTAGAACCTGCATACTTGTGTTGAATTGCCACAGTAAAAAGAATGTTGATTAATTTGTACAGGCAACACACAAGGTAACAATAGCCTCTGGTGTGTGGGGTCTCTCTCTTTCTCTCTCTTCCCCCACCCCCCTCTCCAAAGGAGAGAGAAGAGGGAAGAATCACCTATCATCCCTTTTTTCAGCCTGGTCCTCATGTTTGTACAAGCCATCCTTTGAACTCACTCAAAGATACCACATTCACACAGTTATTTCTGATGTGAAATCACAGGCAAAGTGATTACTTGGGGGAATCTTAAATTCTGCATATTCTTTTCTCTAGAATGGTGAGCTCATGTTACCTGTAGGGGGGTAATTATGTAACTTCATTCTTCCAAGAGATTATAAATAATAGCACTAATTTATATGTGGACATTTGTATATTATATGGCAATGTAGACAGTCAAGACCTGAGTCAGCTCTACCCAGTAACGTGCAATGGTCCTACTTAAATTGTAGTGAATAGCCAGACAGACTTGTACTCGATTGCTCTGGTTTGTGTCTTCTGTTTAAAAAAACTACTGATAACTTTAGGGTTGTTCTGTCTTTTGTAGGCGGCTTCACTCCAACTTCCTGCACTGCGACTGCCACCTGGCCTGGCTGTCTGACTGGCTGCGGCAGAGGCGCACTATCGGGCAGTTCACCTTCTGTTTGGCACCTGTAAACCTGCGGGGTTTTCTTGTGGCGGAGGTTCAGAAGAAGGACTTTGTCTGCTCTGGTAATGATGCCAATTATTCATTTATCTATCACCTGATGGTTTTATATTGATATTGACATAGAAACAGTGAGTGGAAAATGACTGTGTTATGTTTGAATGCCATTCTGTCGCAGTCCTGGATATTTTTATCATTGCTAAACTGTACAGGAATACATCAAATTGTTATTTTTCAGCCTAATAAGAATTACTGGATTCCAGTTAACGTTTCAGTCCTGAAATTATTTTTTTCTACTTTAGCATTGCCAATGATATCAACACAAGAAATCAATTAAGTGTGGATAAATTGGTGTTTCTCAAGGGAAAAGCTCTACAGCTGACTGGAATACAAAAGAAAGGAAATAGGAAAGGTTAATCTGAGTCTGTTGATAAATGATTGAACTGTAGAACATAAGGAGCAGTTTTTATCCTCAGGACTGAAACAGGATTCTTGGGGAGCCAATGAACTTTGCTGTTCTACAAGTTTCCACACTGATAAATGAGGCTGATGATACACGGCCAACTCACAAACCACGTGTCTATATGTTGGGCCTATTCATCAAGTCTCTGGAAATGCACTTGGTTCTGTTGTGAGAGAAATGCATTTTCTTAAAAGAAGAAAAAAAAAGAAAGAGAAAAATAGAAAAATTGGAAAAATAAATCTCTGAATTTGGCTGAAAGGAAGAGGTCTGGTAGAGGAGAAGCATGGCAGTGTGTATGCTATTAAAAGGAAGAAAAAAAAAAGGAAGATGTCAGACACTGGTTTGGAGATAGTTTTGCAGGCCAAATGCAAATGCAAAGTAACACAGGGAGCTTGTTATGAAGCTGAGGCGACTCCTAATCTTGATGGACTGTGAGTCTTGTGGTATTGTGTTCTTTATCTCTCACAGCCTGTGAGCCCTAAAGCTTTATCCTCTTGGTACAGGGTTGACTGATGGAAATACAGTACAAATGCTTGTGCTAGAAATATTTTTAGGAATGCCTTTTTTCTGTAGTTTCATTTACATGTGACAAAGAACGAGAGAAAAAGTTGTACTTAGGGAGGGGTTTGACTCCCTTAACTATATCATGGTTGGTAAATTAATGCCCAGCCCCGGAGGTGTGCAGTAAGTGTTATGGCCACCTGGAGAATTTTGGAGTTTGGAAATGGAAAAAGTTGTGCACCAGTGATTTCTGTGACATGAGTTTCAAGAGTGCTGAGCAGCTTCTATGCAGTTGGGGAGATTTGATGATGCCCAGAATATCTGATAAATTACATCAAAAATTTAACTAAAAGAAAACTTTCGAAATCTAACAGTCTTGGGAGAGGAAGGATAAAAGGACTTGATAAATGAATTAAGCTATTAGCAGAATCTAATTTTACCAAAGAGGTAACCACAGCATTTTTTTCTTATGAAATGAAGTTTCAGATGGGGCATGAGTGCAGCTATTTGGATTTATGATATAGTGAAGTGCGGGGAAAAAAGAGTTGTTTGAATCAGAAGAGAGAATAATTGCTGGATGAGAAATGTAACATGGACAGAACTCATCTAAATTGAGTTTTCTGTGCAGACTATGACTTCCAAAAGAGGAAAGGTTTTTAACAGTTGCCGGTTGGACCAAGAACATATTATGAGAACTCTCAAGGTTGGCCTGCTGTTTTTAAAACATAAATTAATAAAAATTAAAGGAAAGAAGCTTCCAGCGAGACAGTCCATCAGCTGTCTCCCCTAACCCTCATTTGGGAAATGAAATATACTGAAAAAGACATGCATTCGAAGAGCTCATTTTAGTGGAGGATTTAACAAAGAACTTAGCTTAGCGTGTGCTAGTTCAACAAAAACCTACATGGACAGCTAGTTTAGAGAGATAAATTTCCCCTGGTCGTTATTACAGTTCTTATTCCTGATTTTACAGCATAATTTGTTTGTGTTTGACTACGAAGCCAAACTAGGACAGGAGGTGAATAGTGAACTGAACTTGTCCCTCTGCAAAGGAATTTTACGGAGTTTCAGCTTACATGAATCACTGTAACTAGCCTCAAGCTGCCAGTGAAAGCTGCCTTTGCATCATAGTTACGAAGAGCTGAAATACAATGTAGTGAACTACTCTGTTTATGTATAGGCTCAGCATTTCAAGCACTTGTGTTTTTATGGCAGTGGGAATATCATCACAGCAAAAGAAAACCCAGCTTTCCCTCCACTGTAAAATGGGCTTCATCAGAGCATTCCAGTTCAAAACTTGTGCTGTTGCATGCTTCAAAGCAGAAAGAGAATCAAATAATTTGGGGAAAGAAGAACAATATCCTTGGAAAACTGACTTCAGGTTCTTCTTTAAACCTTACGTAAAAATAGAGGGGGGAGTGTTATAATCTTATGATACATGTTGCTTTGGAAACAAATTTTGAATGCTGTGTACCAAGGAATAGCAGAAGTTGGAAAATAAAAAATGAAACACTGATAAAGAAATGCCATCACTGGAACCCAAATTGCTTGATTCCTTCTTGTCACTATGCTACCAGTCCTGTACAGTCATGTTTCTAAACATTAAGTAAAAGTTTCTGAAGATAATGTTGCTGAAGTCAGAGTTATGTGCAGATAAATCTGTGTGAACTGAGAGTCAGTCTTTTGAAACTGTTGTTCACCTTGTGCATATAAATTATAAAAATGCTAATTCAGATGGCACTTGTGGGCAAATTGTGAGCAGCAGAAAAGCTATTCCAGGTTGCACTTGTTCATGCCCATGAGCATTTGGCTCAGAACTGTAGGTAAATGTGTAGGATTAAATAGTGCACAGTTGCCTGGAGAAAGGTTTGCAAATACGTCTAATTGGATTTGTGTTACTGAGGAGGCAGGGGCAAGGTCATTAACAGAACCAAGCAGGGTTGGGACTAGGTGGCCCCTCGCTGTTGGGAGAGTACTGCTGGCAGTCCTGTCACCCACTAGAGCCTTCTGGCTGGCTTCTTCAGCAAGCTGTCCGCTCCTCACAGGAGAGTCTCTCCTCCAGAGCCACTCCTGACAGAGTAGCCTTGCAGGGCCTTTGCCTTAAAGCCATCTGTTCCCAAAGAAGTCTCCAAACAGACACTTCCTCCCGCACAGCCGCTTATTGAGCTCTGGGTTGTGTTTGGTGACACAAGTCAGTATGTTGTAGAAGGGGAAATTGTATGGCAGCAGAGTGCCCCAGGTGATGTGCTGCACATAGCATGATGCATTTCTCTTCTCTCTCCACTACAACCTTGCAAATCACTGCCACGTTGCCGTGACAAGAGAAACGGTGCACTAAGCAAAGACTTAAATGTCAGTTGAAATACTGTCTGCACTCTGATCCTTGGGAACTGTTTATTTTTCCATTCCTTTAGCTAACAGAGAAGCATCTGGGGGTGCTGGCTTATTCTTGGGACCTCTTAGGGCCTTCCAGTCTTTGCTTGGATCAAACCCAGCTTCCTTCCCATGTTCACATTTTACTGTTGAACTGGTTTCCCTTTCTCTAATGCTTCTCTCTAATTTTGTCTCTCTCTCTGAAACACACACACACTCTCACTCTCTCTCTGCCTATTTGTCTGCCTCTTGTCCTTCTCTGACCTCCTTAGGGTAGTAATTTTATTTCATTTTCCTCTCATATAAGTTTTATTATGGCTTTTTGATTTTTCTTCTACCAGCTCTTTACTTACCAAAGTTGAAGTTAATCTGCAGATTGATCAGTTATGTCAAGTCATAACATGTTTTCTCACCTACATTAGTATGGCTGTAAAGCTTTGCAGACTGAAGCAGTGGGTTCATGAAGTTATACCATCAGCAGCACCTTGATCTTTTCAGTGCTCTGCGCAGGACCCACTGAGTGACCCCGTTTAGACTTTTTTACAATGATGAACCATTCTGTTTTTCCTAAGTATACATGCGAGAGAATAAATATGCCTCTGAACCGCGTATCTAAGAATAAAATGGATGCATTCAGGAGCATTGTATCTCATGCTGTGACGTGTAGCATACTTCAGCCACTGCTGTCCTCAGCTAGCTGCTCTCAGAACAGCTCAGATGTCATCTGTTTGCAACTGCTCGCTTGCAGAGGGGACTATCTGGTAGATAAGCAGGCAGAGACTGCGGGTTGATTTCAGTGGGTGGTGGGAGGAAGTTGATTCTTCTCTTGTACTGCTGCTGCCGATTCTGAGGCAGTATGTTAGGACCTGGTGTTGACTCTGAAGGTGCAGGATTTGATACAGATTTGTTATAGTTTTGGCCATTAGCTTGAGGTATTTTACAGTGGACAGCGTTTGTGATGGAGTATGAAGATTGGATGAAGATTCTTGGAATAGACCAGAGATTGTGGTTAGTGAATTCGTACTTTTCTCATGTAAGAAGCACCAGATTCTGAAATCTTGAAATAATTTTGGAGCTCATTTGTCCTGTATGTCTTGCAATATGAAATTTAGCAAAGTTTAAATGTAAAACATGTGATTTCGAAGTACTTTTCTAAGATAGTTTTCTTAGATAATGAAAGAAGCATCGTAGAGAAGGAAGTTGGGTCCATAAATCATTCTCTTTTTCATTAAAAACCATTCTCTCTGGTTCTTGATCCTTAGTTCCCATTCAGAGGATCTACAAGAACCCAAAGACAATCAGGGTGTGTAATTTGGATTAAATAGTAAAAATTCAGTCTGAAATTGATGCGAGAGAGAAATCATTACCAAAGCCAGGTGTCTAGTGATTTCTGTCTAAGTAAACTGATACTGATTTTAAGAAAATAGTGGAACGATCCAAATTTCCGATGAAGATCTAGAGTTTCTGAATCATATGGTGAGACTGCAGCTGAGGTATAATAAGGAGGAAAATACGTTAGCTTCCTGCTGCTTAATGCAGACTGGAAGCCCTAATGAGGAAGCAGATTTATTTGTCTAGGTGAGGTCAAATGGTCTTAAAACATAGCTGTTACTCTCTGGCTCAGACCACAAAATTCAGTAGATTGTCTTGCCCCATTTTTCTCCTAATAACTTCATAGCATATTGTTGAGGAGAAAACCAACAACGAGTAACTAATAAAATAGCACTT